TTCGTCGCTCTGTTTTTATATCAAGATAATTATTTCAATAATAATAATATATAATAATGGTCAATTATTTATTTTATTGAATTGATGGTCCCTTGTTTCTTCTTCAAGGCTTTAATTTCAAAAAGACACTTCCTCCACCATTCCTTTTCACATTATATCCCACCACCGAGTTGTGTATCGTTACATGTGTATCAGTGTATGTATGCTGATAAGAAGCTGATAAGAGTTAGTTTAGTTGGTAAACATTCAAAATAATATACTCTAATTCTGCTATTATGAAAAAATCTTGTTAATGAATAATTTATAAGCATTCTTTGAATTTTGAGATGTCTTGGCTTTAGTTAATTTATCCATGAAAGAATGTATATTATTGATCCATGAGAATGGGTTGCTTGGCTTAAAAAAAAATGTGCTGGATTAGTTAATAAGGTTATTATCATTAGTCGCTTAGTTAATTGGCAACCTTAAAATTTAAGAAAAACATAATCTTTAATCCCTATAGTTTTATCAAATTTTAATTTTAGTTCTTATAATTTTTTTTCAATATTTTCAATTCTTATAGGGACTTAAGATACTGAAAAAATTGACATTATGGGGACCTAAAAAATAAACATCACCCAATCTTTTTTAATATTTAAAAACATTGAAAAAATTATAATGACTAAGAGTGAAACTCAAAAAAAAAATATAAAAAAAATGATGATTGTGTTTTTCCTTGAATCTATATTAAAGGTTTTTGTATCATTGTACTAAGGAAGGGAAGTTCAATCCTGCTTATGCAAAGAGGTTGACATAGGTCCCTATAGCGTTTTGGGATTGATAGTTTCACACTTGAAGGTATAATGATTTTTTGTAATGACATTGATGGCTTAAAACCATCTTGTCTAAGAATTCATATTTTGTAATTATAATATTAAATAAAAATTTTATCATTTGAATTCTTTTTTTTAATAAATGGACATTTCAGTATATCAAATTTAAATATTATCAAACTCAATTAATATTAAAAAAAAACTCTCTTAAAGATATTTTATATTCGTACATATTCAATCTTAACACCTCATATTTAATAAAGCATAACCTCTTCCATTAGAATATATTTGAATTCTTTTATGGCTTCAATAATTTGTATCTTATTTTATAATTTCTTTTGGCTAAAAAATATGTTTTAGGTGCAGCTTGGTCAATCTTAAATAATAGCACAGGGTCAATTCTTCAAGTAAAATCATGATAGACTCTCTCTCTCTCTCTCTCTCTCGCGTGAGAACTGAGGTGGTGTGTAAGGAGCTCAATATTAAATTCAATTAATTAGGTTTTCCTATTTAAAACTTGAACGATTTGCAGTGTAAGTTGAAGTTTTTCATCGAATGATGAGGCCTGCCAAAAGACTAGGGGTGCATTATTGTGTGACACCTGAGGTACGAAAGCTATATCTTTAAAGGTAAAAAAGTTATCTGAATTCTGTATAAAGAAAAAAACTAAAATATAAATCTAACACGTGATGGTCTTAAATCATAGGTTTAAAGTATGTGAATTCTTAAATTTATTTTTGATATAATATTTTTATTTAATTTTTAAAAAATAGTATAATCTGGCCCTCATTCTAATAAAAATTAATTTTAAACATTAATTGATCAAAAATTATCTCAAAAATAATTATAAAAAAAGATCAATAAAAATTTCTTGGCCATTTTATGTAATTTTTGGATTCTTTATTATAATTATTGTTCTTTAATCTAATTTTTGAAATTATTTTTAAATTAATTAACAGTTAAATTTAGCTTTTGTTAATGTTAGGAACTAAATTGTACCACTATCAAAAGTTAAAAAAAAAATTGCAACAAAAAAAAAATTTAAGGGTTTAGATGTCCTGGATTTATAATTTAGGGACCGATTTGCATTTTATCCTTACTTATTTTTGTCTTATTTATAATTCACTTCTAACATATTTTATCATAAAGAAAATATTTAAATCGAGTAACTTTATTTAAAAATTTAATCAATTTTTAACTTTAGCTCTATTAAATAAATAAATATATTTAATAACATCCTTTTTCTCACCAAAATAAGAAAATTTTATGATAAAAAATTGATAGCATGAATTATAAATTTATTTCTCGTAACTGGGAAGATAACTTACTATTGAAACAAAACCTACGTAAATTCTATTACTAATTTCCTGGTATTCATAGTATATTTTCAAATTTATCTTTAAAAATTGTAAAATAAAATTCAATTGAAAAGATAATTTTTTATCATAAAAAATACTATATTTAAAAAATAGCTAGAAAAGTTTACAAACTGAATCAAGCGACTACTTATTGTATATTTTCAAGTTTGCTCTTAACAATTATAAAATAAAAATTAATTAAAACTACATTTTTATTTTCATTATAAAAAATAATTTATTTAAAAATATTTGGATTTCGTGGGAATTAAAAAAAATAAAATAAAAAAGTGGCTATAAATTAACTTCTTGGCAAGTATACTTCGCAGGGAATCAAAACAACTTTTTGAGAAATAAATTAAATTATATATGGCTTGTGATCATGAATATTGTATGGTTTATTATTAAATTTATATTTTATATTTTTATATTGATATTAATAATTGACCAATAAATGGGCAATCCAAACCTGCAAGAAAGAGCACAGAGGAAGTGGCAAGCTGTAAAGGGAGAAAAAAAAAAAAAAAGAACAAAAGAAAACAAAGCAACAAACAAATGTACTCTCTCTCCTTTCTGGGTTTTTCTTTTTCTCACACTGCAGTGGAGCCTGCCATTGTCCAATAGTATTGTCCTTATTTTCTCTGTAAATTCCATCTATGAAAATTTGACCAAGTATTATAATAGTTATCAGCCACTCCAATTCAATCTTACAGAGATTAACTGAAATATATTTATACTTAATAAAATTAAATTATTTAATTGGGCAACGTGAGAGAATTGGAGACTATTGTTGAATTGTCTCATATATTTAAAAAGATTTCTTTTTTATATCCATGGTTTTGATTTTTTTTTTTAGGTCCTTGTGAAGGAGACAGCACGGAGATAAAGGGAACATATCATATGGTTGCAATAATAATTCCCAGCAGAACCAAACAAACATTTATTTATAATACCCACACTTCACTTATATTATTGATATTATAATTATATCTCAAAAAAATTGAATTAATGATAATTAATCAGATTTATGATAAAAAATAAATTAAAAATATTGATTTAGACATTTGTAAATTTAAAATTTTTAATTACATATAAAGTATATATTTGCAAATTGAAACTGCAATTTATATCTGTAATTGTTTAATTAAATCTATACTTTTTTTGTAACTCATGTTTTTTTTAAAAAAAAATTATGGATTATCTAACTCTCGTTACTTCAATACTTTAAGATCTAAATATTATTCTTGGAATAATTATTCACACAGTTGATTGATGGTTGATGCCCCAAGAAAACAGTGACGGAGCACATTGTGTGTAGCATTCAAATCAGTACAATGAACTATCAAGATCAAAATGCATAAGAATTTTCAAGCCTTTGATATGACCTGCCTCTAGCTTCTTCAATTCATTCACTGTTCCCACGCTTACATAAGACACAACCTGCAAATACGTTTAGTGCTGTTGGAAGAGGAAACCTAAGTCGGAATCCGCTTTGCTCCTCGTAGGAGGAGCGTTCGCTGCAGGTCCAAAATCTGGACCGTTCAAATTATATTTAGGAATAATCCAGATTTAATATTTTATTTTTTATTTTTGTTAAACAAAAAATTATAAAATATTTTAATAAATCTGATTACCAATTTTTACTAATTTGAACAATCTAGTTTTAATATTAATGATCCAAATTTAATATTTAAATTTTTTTATAAATTTACTATTCAAATTTATAGTTTAAATGTAATATATTTAACTTGTAATTCTTTTGAAAAAATTTCAAAAATATTTGTCAGTGAATATCTGCATTGTCCAGATTCTAGGGGATATCTAAAGTGTCAATTTTTAAAAATTTTGAATGTTAAATATGAACTATTCATATTAAATTTACACATTAAATTTAAATCATTAATATTAAATTTAGACTCTCTAAATTGATAGTCAATTTTATTAAAATATTTTATAATTTTTTATTTTAATAAAAATAAAAAATAAAATATTAAATCTAAACTGTCCCTAAACTTAATCTAGGCAGTCCAGATTTTGGACCTGTTCCTTAGAGGAGCAGCCAAGGTCACCAAAGTCATGTCAATTCTTCTCGCTGTTAGTATTATATTTTATATCTAGTAAAATAGTATCTATTGATTGATGGTATTAATTTACAAAACCAAGGCCCCGTTTGGTTGGGGGGAGGGGAGGGGAGGGGAGGGGCTCCTCTTCCCTCCCTCATTTGGTTAGGAGGAGGGGAGGGAAATTTTTAAAATTTTCCCTCCCCTCCCCTCCCCTCCCCTCCCATTCTCTCCCCTCGAATCAAACAGACCCTAAGAGTTTTTATACTTTCAATTACTACTATTGTAAATTAAACCAGTATAGTTTAAAGAATTAGTTTTTCCTGGTATAGAAAAATAAAAGTATAGTAATAGATTTTTTTTTTTAAGATTATATTGTTCACTAGGTCATTAGTTTGATCAAAATTAGTGAAAGTAATTGCAAAAATTGCAAAATCATTTTTGTGAAGAAGAAGAAAAAGCATATATACCATAATGATAACAAAGCATCTTAATTCAAAACTTGAAAACTCAAATTGATGAATTTTTTTATTAATATTAATTATGAAGATCAGCTTTATCTAGTATGAACTTCTCACATATATTTAGATCAACTTACATTTAAATAACCTAATAATCTCGCTTTCTCACAAGCTCATGAACCATTAACAAACTCATTTCTCAATCTCCATACAACATTAGAAAAAAAAACCTATTAAAATAATTCTTATATATTTATGTGGTGATTGATTATAAAACAAAAATGGAAATTTTTATCCACAAGACAACAGACAGTGAAAAAGGGTTGTTTAAGATATCCCTCTCGATAATCTCACTCATCAGAATCTTACATTCCCAACGTTTCCTTCTGTCGTGCCTTCTCACAGAGAACCAAAAAGATCAATACTCTAAAATAAACCTAGTAATCAACTAATAATACACAATCAATTACCAACTTTCACTGATTCACATACGAGACAGTGACAAAATGGCAATAACATAATTCACATCTACTTCTTCTAGTGTCTCGTCGTCGCTGTGTCAAGATCGAAATATATCAGATACGATAAGATCATGTTTGGGAGACCAAAATGCAGAATTGTTTGAATTTTCTGCAACATACAACAGTAATAAGAATAATAATAATTTGACTTGTTCTTGTTCTGTTCTTGAGATTCCGGAGGTTTGTTAAATTCATCAGATCTAAATATTAAGGCATGAAGAGCTTGTTCCCGCATTTGCAACGCCAAGCTTCTGGATAGTACTCGAGCGGCTTGCTCAGACCGGGATGGATCGGCACGTGAACCGGTTCACACGGCGCGCACCAGCCGCACTTGGATCTACACGACGGCGGAAACGACCCTGGCCCGCCGTTTCTCTTCTGATCAGCCGCCGCTACCGTTGCCGCCGTCCACGACCCATTAATCTCCTCCCTCTGAAAGTAGGGCTGCTTGAAACCTCCCCTACCTGATCAGCATTCCAAAAATAATAATAATAATAATAAATGAAGGAAATTCTAACAACATTAGGTCACAGACTAACAGCTAAAATTTTGAAAACAAAAAAATAACTAATATCGTTAAAAATTAAATTCTTAGTTCATTTAATTTGATAGGTAATTAATTAGGTGGTAAAAAGATTAACTAACGTGCGCACATGTGTAAGAAGATTCAAACCATATTATAATAATTAATTTGTAAGAAGTTTAGTATAGGTCAAGTGAAATGAACAGTGCTTTTGTGGTCATTAATTAACGTTAAAGAGTAAAGAGATGAACTCATGGAATATTTACTATGCACTGTGAAGATTTAAGATATAGACAAGTACTTAGGGAAGACTTACTTGGAAGTGGAGGGAGGGTTAGGGCAGAAGCAGAGGAGAATAAGAGAAAAGTGAACGCCGTGAAGGTTGTTGGCAGGCGGTTGCTGTGTTGGTGGTGGTGGTGGTGGTTGCAACGGAGAAGACGGCGATGAGGCGGTAGGCCCATGGCGGAGGACGGAGGCGACGAGTGGTGGTGGGTGTGGGGGAAGGATATGGTGAACAGGTGAAGAATGAGAGAGAGAGAGAGAGAGAGAGGACAGAGGGCAGATATTTGCGTGTGGGAGAAAAGGTGCCAAGTCAAAAGACATATTTGAAGCAGATGAAAGAGAAGGAAGAAAACAAGTGTGTTTGTGTGTGTTGGTTCAAAAAGTATTGGGAGGTTGGGAGATAGTAAACTGTGTCATGGTTGTATACAATAAGAACAGAAAATTTGTTATATATATATATATATATATAAAGAACAGAAATTATCAAGGTTTGAAATTTGAATTACAGTTTAAGAATTTAGTACTTAATCATGTTTTAAATATGATTATTTTTAATAAAAAATATGTGTGCATATAAAAAATAGAAAATTACTTTGTTGATATAAAATTATTTTAAATTCAAGTAGTCATTAATACTTTTTTTATAAGTAAAAATTTAAGTGAGTTGAGTTTCGAAGATTTACAAAAAATAATGTGTGTTTTTAATTCAAATAACATTTACAAAATATTTATAAATCACTTGTTAACAAGATTTTCATATGAGCAGTAATATTTGAAGATTGTAAGATATGAGTCAAATTTTTACAAACTAAACCGACTATTGTTGATTGTAATAACTTATATTTTAAATTGGGAGCATTATGGCCATTTCACAAAACATATTAATGTCAGGAAGGTCCCAAGAAACTTGAGAATAATTACCACATTTTGCTGGGCTTCATTGTTATTTGCACATTTCAATGGGATTTTTCTGTGATTTTTTTTCTAATTTTCTTATACTATCATCAAAAAAATATTCTTAGTATTTCATCCAAAAAAATGTTCCTTGGAAAAATGTTATACTCATATAGACATATAGAACTTTAATTAGTTTACCAACAAGGGTTGATCATCAATAAAAGGGTCTACGACCACTGTCCGCTTATATATGAGGTATCTAATTTGAATTTGTTGTGAATGTATAAAAATATTTGAAAAAAATTATTTTTAATTGAGCCCAATAATACTTGAGTTTGACTCAATCATACAGCTATGTAAAAAAAAATAGTTAAAATTATTTTAAAATGTGATGAGACTGTGGACCCTACTATATGGGTCCACATTTCTGATTATTGTGATGCAGTGACTGATTGGTAGGGTTTTATTTGGAGTGGATGCATGTGTTGTGACTGACCCGTACGTTTGAGAAATCCAACTTGTTAATAAGTGTAGCTTAATTCACCTGGGTGATTTTTTAATTTTTTGTTTAATATACATAATTATTTTACTTTTTTTTTATAAAAAAAAATTCCTTTATTTTGCTCTGCCACTTTCTATTATTCTCAATTCGCACATGTACCTTAGGTCTCGCGCGCGCTATGTATATTGATTTTGGACAAAATCTTAGATGTTGAATTTTGTGGGCCATGGTGATAGATTGACTATTCTTCACGTACAGGGGGGGGGGGGGAGAAAATTATCTGAAAAGGAAATTAAATTAGGGTGTAATTAATTAAAATCCATTATGGGGTTTAATGGTGGGCAGAAGAGCGTCTCCTTTTCTTTTTTTTTCATTTCCCATCTTTTCTTTTTATTACCATTACATAAAAGTTTTAATATTTTTAAATTTAATACTTGATAAAATTAGTATTTTAATTTTACATATAGTATATAAAAACTATAACATTTTATTTATATATTTTATGTAAATTATACTCATAATTTTATCAACATTTAAATCTAATAGTTGAAAAGCTTTGAATCTAATGTAACGGTTAAAGAGAAAAGAAGGGAATGGAGAGTAAGGCAAAGGAGTGGCCGCCTGCTATGAACATAGAACTTCAAACTTAGCACAATCTTTAACTACCTCGCATAAAATAAGGCAATTAATTGATATGCCAAAGGCGTTCAATTTTCTTAATATATATTCATTGAATATAATTATCTCTACTAATAGAAAATGAATCAAATTACTAATGAGGACTGAATCTAATAAAAAGAGTTAGTCCCTCACAATATAATGAACAAGAATTTAAATTTTTGTTAGAAAAAATGCTCATATTTAACATCTAATTATGCCCCAAACAAGATTGTCTCCACTAAGAGAAAAATTGTGAGCAAGAAAAAGAAAGAAAAATATTAATCAAATTATAGGGTTTGTTTATTTTGGTTGTTAGCCATATTTTTTGGGATAAACATATTTATTATTCTCACTTATGAAATGAAACATGAAGTTTTTCCAAAGGGTCAATGATCATCCTAAATCCTAAATTATTGCATGAATAACCGTTACATCAAAATAGTGATTTTCTCATAGCATATTTTTGTGAGAAAACACCCAAAATTTAGTGAGAACATCATTTCTCACTCTAAAAGATCCATCACTAAAACAGTCGAAGAAAAAATATTTCACACAAACAAAATTGTGAGAATCATTTCTCGCACCATTATTTGCAGGAAGTTCACACAGCCTTTAAAACTGCGAGACATTCTCGCGGAATGATTCTGAGAGAAGTTATTTCAATTTAATTTAAGATAATTTCCCACACATAAATGGTGTGATAATTTCTCTCATATAATTATGCTGTGAGAATTTCCTATAATAATTTTTTGTGAGAAATTCTTACGTGCAACAAATCTGAAAGATTTTCTTTTAAAATATTTTTGAGAGAAATTGGTTAGTCTCTCATAATAGAAATTATTATGAGAAACTCTCATAATAATGTATCATGAGAAACTAAACTAATGCTGCGTCACCTTTCACCTCGCACCATGTCAACTGCCACATATAAATTAATTAATCCCACCTCACACGACACTTCACGCCACATCAGGCATCACATATGCATCTTGCTTATGCCATATTACTTGCTACATAGTGTTATGTCACTCACCATGTGTGGGTAAGGTCGTACCATGTCATCTATCACATCACCACCTTCTATGCCACATATCATTCGCCACCTCATGTCACATCACATCATCTTATTTATTTGTTACAAAATATGCTAATATCAAGACTTAAACCGACCTTCCATCTTTCAAGTTTTATACCCTTTCATTTGTTAATTGAATTAAAATGCACTTGTAATCATCATATGCAAAATTAAATATATATTAACTTCATACATATATGTTGAATAATATACTATTAAAAATATATACATGTTATATTTTATTTTCAATTAATAATATAATAAAATAATTTATATGATTATAATATATGATTTGTATTATAATTTTAATAAAATAATTTATATGACTATTTATATTATATTTTTAATAAAATATATTTTTATCCATGACACTATCATGATATATATAACCAAAATTAAAAGCTCTGTAGCACATGCCATGACATATTGCTTAGTTTGCTTGAAATTACAGTTTTGCCCTCGTGTTCTCTATTAATTATAATTTCTTACGTTGTGTATGAATATATATGTTTGAGGGTATGAACCATGTTTAAAAGGGATTATTGGGATCCTTATTTTCTAATTATAATAATTTTCTATATTTTAATAATTATAATTAATTGGTAGTTCAAAAGATTAAAGACTTTTGATTACCTAAGTTTGGCATGTGTGCATGAGTTTAGTAATGCTTGGAGAATGGCATTACACATCTTGAACTCTAAACTTTTAAAATATGCAAAAACATATCAATTAAGTTTTAAAAAAAATAGTTGTTACTTTTTGCACTCATGGGGCTCAATCTCACACATGCGGCACTCATCTTAACCGTTAAAAAGTTAGGGAGAGTTTTTAAATATTTTAAAAGTTTAAAGTCTAATTTACTATTTATATAATAATTTAAAGTTTAGTACGCTCATTAACACTTTTTTAAGAATTGTGTTGTAATAAGCAATCATTACCAAGGTAGTGTATAATCATATTGGGTTAATAATTTAAGAAATTTAATGGTGTGTGTGTGGGGATAAATAGTCTTTTTATATAAAATGGGAGGGGAGGAATGATGAGAAAAGAAAAACAAGGAAAAGATTAAAAAATAATAAAATAATATTAAACCAATGCGCGCCTCAGCCTGCAATTAGTTTAATTGAGGGCATAGCTTGAAATTTGACAAAAATAAGCTGAATAGAGTAGCTTCATCAGGACTTTTCTCTCTCTTGAAAATCATGCAGCGCCAATGGAAGAACCTCTGAATTAGAAAATGCCACCGGATAGACCCATTGAGGAGCTCTCACCGGATGATCGACTGAAGAAAATGAAGAAGGAGGTCAAAGAAGATGCCATTATGCCTGACAAAATGGAGACACGGAAGGCTGTGTCAAACATATACAGAAATCTGATGAAGAACAGAGCATTCTGAGGAACCAAAAATAGGGGTCCTATAAAGACTCTCTTCTTGGGTTTAAAGGAACCGATTTCAATGGAGTGGCTTATGGATCATTAGCCATGGACGATGATCCTTTGATATCAGATCTTCTTAACTAGTAGTGGGAGATACCTGCACCATCGAAAGAACTAAAAAAACTGATGAACATCTACCCAGTAGTCCCTATTTCATAGGATAAATTCAATGACTGGTGTCGTCCTTGGAATAATGCCTTAGTTATTACAATACTTGGAACTAGATTCGTACTGCACAAGCTTAAAGAACGACTAAGTAAGCTTTAGCAACTGAAAGATTTTGAACTGATTGATTTGCCAAATAACTACTATGCCATCCGCTTCATAGATGAAATCAACTGGGCACAGCACTATAAGAGGGTTCTCTTTGAGGGACCATGGGTAGTGGCACAATACTGTGTGCTTGTTCAAAGGTAGATTCCCTACTTTGATCCATTTTATAATCCCTTGGGACGCATTGCAACATGGGTTTGTGTTCTAAATATTCCCATGCACTATTACATAAAAAGTTTTATCTAGAGATTAGGAGATAGAATCGGTCGAACTATCAAAGTAGATATGAATACCATTGTAGATCCAGATGCTCAGAAGACCAAGGTAGAGAGAGGAAGATACGAAAGAATATGCGTTGAACTGGATCTGCGAAAAAAGTTGGTACCTAGAATAATCTTAGCTTCATCTTTATTTAACGTGGAATGTGAAGGATTAGGCTTAATTTGTTTCCACTGTGGAAGGTATGGGCATAGAAAAGAATCCTGTCCATGGAAAGCAAGTACAGCGAACCAATCCTCACAGTGTGCACCCTCAACCGGTTCACCTCCGCCTTTCACACCGGCGACCAAACTCCCCAGAGAAGAAGAAGTCTACCGCACCTGGAACTTTGTCTCTGACCAAACGAAACCTCATTTCTCGAGGTCTGACAGCCACAGAAGCATACATGAGTACCGAGGCAGGCATACAAGATATGGAGAAAAAGATGACAGTAAAATGACTACTTCACGATATGCTATTCTTGCAGAGTTAGATCAAGAAGAGGATGCAAGAAGTCAGCTAAATCTTGACACTACTAGGGGAGAGGCCACCTTTGGCAATGCAGGAAAAGCATTGGCAGTGGTTACAAATAAAAAGGAAACTCAGAGTAAAAATGAGCTGGACACAAATTTTAAAAATAACCAGCGAGGAAAAGATACTCAAGGGGGAAAAGGAGTTTATGTACCCAAAGGAAAAGAAAATATTAGGCCCAACCCAACATCTCTAAATGAGTCAGCCTCAATCTCCAATGTGAAAGGGAGGAATGAAGCATCAGACACCTCTTCATGGGAAAAGAAAAAAGACCAGAAAAGAGAGCAGCAGGCCAACGTGCCTATGTAGTGGTTAATGGATCTCTGGCCCAAAATGAATGCCAAGTTAATTTTAAGCCACCAGAAATTCAACCAACCTTCCCCATTCAGCAAAACTCTATCTCGACCCCTTCTTCACCTCATCCCATCTTAACCCATTTGGTGACACAAGTTCTTACCCCTCAAACTAACTTCTCGGCCTCCTCTTCACCACTTTCTCCAACAAATTGTCTTCCCTCTACACCTGAACCACCTAACATTATCTCTTCCCTGAAATTGAATAAAGGAAATGCTCAAGTGGAATTGAAGATTGACTCATCTGATTCAAAAGGAACTCATTATGAGAAGGATGTTGCCAGCCCTGTCTGGGATCAAGAGAAATGCTGAAATGGGTGTGTACCTTTTTTACTTTTCAGTTAACCTTAATGATCATCATTTCTTGGAACTATCGGGGAGCAGGATGCAAAGCTTTCCCGGGTATCATTAAAGATCTTGTTCAAAAGTATAAAGTTGACATTCTCTGTCTTCAAGAAACACGTATTAGTGGTTCAAAGGCTGATTGTGTTGTTCGTTGCTTGGGTTTTGATAAATGGATTAGACTTGAAGCTATTGGATTTTTCGATGGTATTTGGATTCTATGGAATAGTAATGCTTTTAATGTTGAATATATCTCCTCAAATGTCCAACTTCTTCACTGCCAAATCTCCAACTTTTCTACAAACAAGCAATTTCTTTCTACCTTTGTGTATGGAGAAACATCCCCGAATAAAAGAAAAATCTTGTGGGATTCACTTATATATCTTAGTAACTAAATTACTAAAGACTGGATTGTGCTTGGTGACTTCAATGCATTCTTACGTGCTGATGACAAGCTTGGTGGTTCAGGTCTAACTTGGTTTTCCCTTTCAGATTTTCATAATTGTATCAATGATTTGGGGCTACTTGAATTACTTATTATTGGAGACAAATACACTTGGGAGGGTCACAATGTGAAAGAACGTCTTGATTGGGCTTTCTGTAACCTATCCTGTGAATTTAATCATCCAAACAGTAAAGAGCATCATCTCCTCAAATTTAAATCAGATCACAAAGCAATTGCCATTTCAGATGTACTCACTCATAACTCACCCAATAGACCTGCCCAGTTTAAATACCAAGTTGCTTGGAATCTTGAACCTGACTTTGGAAATCTTGTTTCAAATGCCTGGCTGAATCATGACTGGGTTGATGGTGTTTCTTCTTTTCAATCTTCTATAAACTCATGGAACGATTTGAAGGTGGGTAGTATCCTGAGGAAAAAAAGAGAAATCTTAAGGAGGCTAGATGGAATTGATCGTGCTCGAGCTTTGAATAAATCTAATGGCTTAGCTAAAATTAAGAAGAAGCTTTGGATGGAATACGCAAAGTTGGCCACATAAGAAGAATTAATTTGGTACCAGAAATCTAGATGTCGATGGTTGCAATGGGGTGATAAAAACACTAAATTCTTCTATGCCTCTGCTGTTATCAAGAAAAGGAGAAAAAGGATTGAGGCATTAAAAAATGACGCGGGTGACTGGATAGAAGACTCTGAATCCTTGAAATCTATGGCCTCAGAGTACTATAAGAATTTATATTCCAAAGATATAAATGCCATACCTGATTCAACATGGCCTAATTACTTCCCTCAAATTGATAGTGAGACCCTCCTTTATCTCAATTCTGATGTTACTGATATTGAAATAAAAAATGCAGCTTTTGCATTGGACGTGTTCAAAGCCCCAGGACCGGATGGAATTCAAGCACACTTCTTTCATAGCTAATGGAATTTAGTGGGTGTCAAAGTTTGTGAGCTTGTGAAAGAATGCCTCCAAGACCCTGAACACATAAAGAAGATCAACCAAGCCACTATTGTAATGATTCCTAAAAATGAATAGCCTTCTGGACTCAAAGATTTCAGGCCCATCTCGCTATGTAATGTTAGCTTCAAAATCATTACCAAGCTCCTAGCCAGATGTCTCCAACAGGTTATGGATTTCCTTATTGACCCCTATCAATGTAGCTTCATCAAGGGAAGACAAAGCTGTGACAACATTATCATTGCTCAAGAAGCCATCCATACAATGAGACGTAAGAAAACTGGACGGAGCTATATGGCAATTATTAAAGTTGATATGGAGAAAGCTTTTGATAGACTTGACTGGGATTTTATTGAACAAACTCTTCACATTATTGGTCTAGACAACAAGCTCATTTGGATCATCATGAATTGCATTACTACTACTTCTCTGCGTGTTTTATGGAATGGGGAAGAAACTGAAACTTTTAGACCGTCTCGTGGTATTCGTCAAGGAGATCCCCTTAGTCCTTATATCTTTATTCTATGCATGGAGAGACTCAATTTTCTCATAAAGGATGCTTGTGTTATGAAAAAATGGAAACCACTCAGATTCTCCTCAAGAGGACCTTTTATCTCCCATCTTTTCTTTGCCGATGATCTCATTTTATTTGCAGAAGCTTCCTCTGATCAAATGCATCTGATTAAAGATATCATGGCAAAGTTCTGCCTTGCTTCTGGCCACAAGATTAATTTAGCAAAATCTAAAGCGTTCAGCTAAAAAAATGTGTATTTCAACCGTGGTCGGGCCCTTTGCCAGATCTTAGGTATTGATCTCACGACTGATTTAGGCAAATACTTAGGGGTGCCTTTGATTCATTCACGAGTAACTAAGCTGACCTTTGCACCTATACTCTAAAAAGTCCAGCAAAAGCTCTTTTCTTGGCAAGGATGTTTTTTGAATATAGCTGGTCGCTCAGTTCTTATTAAATCAGTTCTTTCAGCGATTCCTTACTACTTTATGCAATCTCTACTTATTCCTAAGGGCATCATCAAAGAAATTGAAGGATATAGTAAAAGATTCCTTTGTCTTCAAAACCCATCCAAACAAAAAATACACTTAATATCTTGGAAGATGGCAAAGGAGAGCAAACAACATGAAGGAATAGGATTCAAGGACTTATTCAGTCAGAATAGGGCTTTTATCATGAAACTTTATTGGGGACTCCTCATACAACCTAATCTCCTTTGGATTAGATGCTTGAAAGCCAAATATAAATGTGAAGACAATCCTATTACGTCTATATGCAAGAAACGCAGCCCTTCACAGATTTGGAAGAGCATTACGATTGTCTGGGATTCTTTTTCCTCAGGTATTGGTCGAAAAATGGGAAATGGCCTTAATACGAGATGTTGGTAGGATCTATGGTCCCCTTTGAATCGTCCCCTTATCACTTTTATAGACAAAAATCATCATCTTCTTAATCCTTGTGCATTAGTCAAAGACTTTGTTCTCCCTAGTGGCTTTTGGAATATTAATGCATGGAAATGCTTCCTACTGGATTGGGTCGTGAATAAAATTTATTCTATACCTCCCCCTTATTCCACTAATGAAGATTCTTACTGTTGGAGACCTTCTGCAGGTGGCAGGTTTAGTGTAAAATCTGCTTACAAATTTATCTATCATAACAGTGCACTTGTGGGAGAACCCATTTGGAAAAAGATTTGGAAATGGCAGATCCCGGAGAAAATTAAATTCTTCCTTTGGCAAGCACTTCATGAGAGATTAAATACTAACTCACTCAGAGCCAATCTTAGGCTTTCACCCACTGGTGAATGCCCCTTTGAGTGTCATAGTGAGGAAAGTGTCACACACATTATTCGCAACTGTCAAATTGCCCAGGATTTCTGGAAACACTTGATTTCGACTAACCATTACTTTAGTTTCTTTCAATGCAATTTGCAGGTTTGGTTCAACTGGAACTCCAAGCACAATCCGGCCAACAATACCTTCTCCAAATGGCTTTGGACGAGAATATTTGGATTGGGATGCTGGCTATTGTGAAAAAATAAGTGTAAAGCCATTTTTGAAGGAGCAAGACTCACCGCCCAAGAGCTAGTTCATAGCTTCCTCTTTCACATTCATGAACATGTAGCCTCCGGGAATCTCAAACATGTTGTTTTTCCCAATCTCGTTGCAATGGAGAATACTTGGATGCCACCCAATCTCATTAATTTTGTCTTAAAATTTAATAAATTTTTAATTTTATCCTTATTAAATATATATATATATATACATTAATAACATATTTTCTCTCTCCATCATTTAATGAAGGGTGAAAAGAAAAATTTATGATAAAAATTTAATGACGTGATTTATAAATAAGATCAAAAAAATTTTTCTCTGTCTGCCCTATAAAAAGGACCAAAAGGAGTATTTGGTTGATTTTAATTCTTCTAAAAAATAGAGTAATGTAACATTTAAGTTGGTGGTATTGAACAAATTTTGGCACGTGTAATTTTAGCATGAAAAATAAGTAACAATGGTTCATTCTTTTAAATATTGGGAAGCTATCGATTTTTATTATATGGCTATTAGGCTACGTATGAACTGTATTGGGAATGGTTGTGTCCACTAAAGGCTTGCTTGGTTGCTTGGATTTTAACTGAAATATATGTATAAACTTTTCAAGCATGCTTATATGTTCTCCAAAAATGCATATGTATTATTTTGATTATTTTCAAGTATGCTAATGTTTGGAATGAAATTTGATAAAAATGGCTATGTATGATTATATTTGAATCATTTCAAGCTTGCTCATGAATATATAGTTGAAATTGAATAAAAAATATGTGTTGCTTTTTTCATTTAAGCATGCTTGAGCATTTTGGATTCTTGTGGGTGTGATGTATTTGTAGGGAGCATAAGGGTGGATATTGTGATTTTACGGTGGATGTGATGGAAGATCATATTTTATTACCACCATATGGTTCATCTCCATTCAATGCACAGTGGATGGTTCTCTATCAAGGCCCCTTCCTTGATTTAAGAATGTGGGACATTGGGCACATTTTTTTAGGAGAGGAGCCTAGCTCTACAATGCATTTTTGGCCAAGTATATCTTCAGTTTGAGCTCCAACTGGTGAATAGGGCAAGCTATAAGAATTTGTGTGTGTGCGTGCATGCGTGAAGTGAGTTTGTACTGGTTTGTGGATTGTGAAGTGAGTTTGTATTGATTTGCTGGTGTAAGTTGGAATATCCATTTATTACTATGATGCTAGATCTCATATGCTATTTCTTACAATTTTCATATGAGAGTTTTGGTAGAGTACAAAGGAAGGCATTGAAAAGTTGAGCAATAGCTCAATAGTCTTGTACCGCATATGTCCAATTTTCCTTTTTTATTGCCATGACTCATAGGACTACATATTTAATTTATAATTTATTAGTTTTAAAACATTTAAAAAAATATGATATCTTGGGTCTTTTAGAATTATTTTAAAGGATTTTTATTTAATTGTGGGTTGAGCCAAATTATTTTTTATCAAAGTATTTTTCATTTATTTGAGTTCAAGATTAATTACGAAAACAATTTGCAGCCTTGAAAGGTTTTATTTAAGGTATTTCTTGTCTATCAAAATAAGGGTGCTACACATACAAGCAATTTGACTATAGAAAAGCCAAATGAAATCACAAATTTTCTTTTCTAAAGTATCATGTGCCTTTTTTATGGAATTGTCAATTATTACTATGTAGTTGTTAGAAAAATTAGTCAGTTGACTCTTAAACAACAACAAAATATATTAATAACTATCCAATATCCAACAGTAGTTGACAATCTCAATAAAAAAAACATGAGACTTCAAAGTAATTTATGCTCTCATGATTTTTTTTTTTTTTACATCTAGATGTATTGCTTATCATGTGACTGAAAATAATTAAAAGAATGATAGAAAGCTCTCAAAAAGATCAATTAATTCAAACTAAAATTTCAAGTATCAAATTTCAAACTAAAATTTCAAGTATCAAATTTCAAGAATTTACAAATTTAGTTTTTAATTTTGTAATTTTATTAAAATGAATTTGAAACTTATGTTTCAAATTTTAATGAAAAAATAAATTTATTTATTATTCAATCATATTAAAATTTAAAAAATAAATTTGAAACTCATCGCAATGAATTTATAAAATTAAGAGACAAACTTACAAATTCATAAAATTTGACATTTTAAACTTAATTTAAATTAATTGACCTCTTTGAGGCCTATTTATCATTCTTACAAAATAATTTTGTACGGCTATTTTATTGCTCATCTAATTACAGCGATACTTCTTTTACTAACTGTCACGAAATTTGTCATATTACTACCATACGGTGGTGTGGAAATGCCATTTTAATTGTAGCGAAAATACCGTTTTGTACCAATGTATTTCTATAAATGTTATAAAGTCACAAGGCTGTTTTTAAATTGTAGGTAGACTTTGAATCTTAGTAATCCTGAATATTTCATCACAAAAAAATAAGATCTATAGATAACTAACAATTATTGGCATGACACCACATAGGGAAAATAAAAACTCAATTGAAGAAGTTGGCTTAATGGTGAGTTGATACGGACTTACCCAGTTTCTTATAAATTTGAGGTTATTAGCCATTGTACATTCATATATACTTTGCTCCATGTTTCTTCTAAATTGGTTCCCTCGGATCAGGCAATAATTAAATAAATAAAATAAAAATAAAAATAAAATGCTGATTTCTATAGTTGGGGATAAACTGACAGTCGAATTTAGGAATCTTTGACCAAGATTTGGCTACGATGTTTCTGACTATTTCTACAACTCTAGCTAGGAAATTAAATTCTGAAAAGAATAACAGTTAAATTCTGACAGATAAAATTAATAATAATTAAGTTTTTAATAATTTTTTTAAAAAATAAGTTACCAATATTTATTTAAGTAATTGCAAGTTTAGGAGTTTCAGT